CCGGGTGCATGTGTGTGCATGCCCAAAATCCTGAGAGGAGAAGTGAGGAGAAAAGATTACAGTGTGGCCATCCCTACCCTCAAGGGTGTTATTTCTCACTTTCCCTCTTGCTCTGTCTCTGGTTCTATCTCTTTCTTCTTAGCAAGCAAAAAAATGTTTAAAAAATGTCTTTAAAAACAACAACAAAAAAAGAACATGTTTTCTACAAATTGGCTGACATGCTTCATGGTCACAGCTGCTGTACAGACCTTGTCTGGGTAACTAAATAATTCTCTGACTTGTTTAGGAAATTTTCTAGGAAGAATTTTGTTGATATCTTCACTTGAAGCTGTGTAAGTGACACAGAAGGAGAAGGAAAGCCTAGTTCTAAAGCAACCTGTATGGAACTGCTTTTGTCAGTCCTGATCAATAAGTAGTTTCTATTTCATCTCCTTTCAACTTTTCCTTCAAAGAAACACCTTATATACTTCGTTCATTAAATATTCCTTTCCCTTTTTTTTTTAAAATGGAGAGTTTCTCTGGACTTCCAAGGAAATGTGTGAAAGGAGAACTGGGTCTTATCTTTTCACTTCTTATAATGATGGGCCACCAGAATTTTATGAGGAAGGAGGAGGAATCACTGTACAAGCGAAGAGAAAGCACATCTGGAAAACATCAACACGTAAGTTCATGAAGGCTGTGTTTAGAAGTCAGAAGTGCACATCATATTATCTTCTTTTTTGTTAGCAGAGTCCAAGTGTGACTTGATGGAACTTGGGGGCATTGAAGAAAGGAAAAGAGGAGCAAGACATTACCTTGCCTCCCCTCGCACTTGCTTCCATGATCTTCTGTCCCTACTTCCTAGTAAAAGAATACCCATAGAGGAGGCTAAGAGGATCTCTAAAATTTTAGGATTCTAGCAGGGCTTTCAGGGGCAAAAATCCCAATGTAGAGATTGGTGTAGAGGTCTCTGGGCACCTATTGTTTACCTCTACAGAAATCAGTCCTAATCCATAATCTATCATCTAGCCATCAATCCTCTCATTAATTGATTCAGTAAACTTTCCTGGGCACCTGTTAAATACTATGAGGCTGTTATTGAATAGAAGATACATTAAATAAAAGACATCTCTTGTTTTCGTGGAAACCTGTAGTTTGGGTAGTGAAGACTGACAAGCTTGGAAATAATGATAAAGCATGATGGGGATGAAGAGTAAAGAAAAAAGGGTCCTGTGGGAACAAACATGAGGGACCCATCTCAGCTTAAAGTGGTATCCATCAGATAAGGGACTGATAAGCAGAATACACAAGGAATTAAATAAGCTGTCTGGAAAAAAGATGATCAACCCTATTAAAAGATGGGAGAAGGAGTTGAAAAAAACACTCTCTAAAGATGACATATGAATAGCCAAAAGGCATATGAAAAAATGTTCAACATCCCTCATCGTAAGGAAATGCAGATAAAAACAACAATGAGGTGCCACCTAACCCCAGTCAAAATGTCTAAGATTGAAAAAACAAAAAATGATAAGTGTTGGCGGGGGTGTGGTGAAAGGGGAACTCTTACACTGCTGGTGGGAATGTAAATTGGTCTAGCCACTGTGGAGAATAATTTGGAGATTCCTCAAAAATCTACAAATAGATCTACCATATGATCCAGCAATCCCACTCCTTGGTATCTACCCAAAGGACAGAAGAATTCTTCATTGGAAAAGTGCTTGCACATTGATGTTTATTGTGGCACTATTCATGATTGCTAAGTCATGGAACCAACCCAAATGCCCCTGTATGGAGGAATGGATTGAAAAACTGTGGCACATATACTCTATGGAATACTACTCAGCCATAAAAACCAACAGAACCCTGGCTTTTAACAGAAAGTGGAAGAATATGGAAGATTTACTGCTGAGTGAGGCAAGCCAGGCTATGAAGGAGAGACATTGTATGTCCCCACTTAACATATACTGAATGTCTACACTCTATGACTGAAACTGATTGACTAACGGTTGAACAAACACAAGAGATGGGTGTGAATGTCAGACGAGGTGTATGTGGAGGAGTGGGGCTTAACAAAGGACATTTGGAGAAGGGATAGGGAGGTAGAGCATTGACGGGATGGGGAGGTGTGGTGTTATCGGTTGAAGATATTTGGATCAACGGGACTGGGAAGAAATGTTCACATATTGAAATGCTCACATTGTAAGCTAAACAATGTGATTGAATGTATATACAAAAATAAATAAAGAAAGAAAAAAAAAGGGGGCGTCCTGTAGGACACGTGTCTATATGAGACATTAAAGACAAGAAAGAGTCCCTTATGTGGAGAGCAGGAAAAAAACCGTTCCAGGTAAATGGAACAGCACACTCAAAATGTCAGAGCTGGGAAGAACCTTCAATGGATAAAAATGGAGGACATAGCTGTGCCTTAGAAAACAAACATAAGAAAAAAAAAACAATGAAAGAATAAAACCTCTCCTTTGTATCTTTCTAAATAATTCCAAAGTCATTAAGATCTTAGACCTATTTGTAAGAAACAAAGGTAAAAATTACAAAATGTCACATATTCGCCAAACTACTCTCATTGCTCCTTTAGTAGTAAATGTTTACTCTCATGATTTCACATGCTACTGAGCCTTAAAGGTACTTATTAAATGACTTGTTGATTGTAAGCTTCTTCTTTATCTTGGCTTACTAGGAAAAGTCACAGAGAAGTAATAATGACCAAAGAACCTACTAAAGAAAGAGAGATGATCTGAATTACCTAGGACACAGAAAACTCCTTTCCCTCAGTAAGTTCCTGCCTCTCTGCCCAGCACTAATCATGATTTGACAGCTTTTAAGTCACTTACTCTGTTATCTAAAAACTTATGGCAGTCCAAGTTAGATGAACTCATCACAAATGGACAAAATGACTTGGTAGTTTTCCAAAATTTATTGTCCAAATTGACCAGTCAACATACTCTATGATGCATATTATTTCCCATGCATATGGCCATAAAGGCGGGACTAAAAAGCCTCGTCTGTACTGAGGACTTTTAATGTACTTTTGCCACTCTAATGGTAGAGCTATGCAAATGCAGTTATGAAGCAAAGAACAGAGAGATACAGCACGGTCTACTGGGAACAACTATAAAACACAGGTTCTAGAACCTCATCATCGTTCATTTCTTTGCTCGACCACCTTGAAAAGTGACATCAGCAAGTACTTACTGAATATTCACAATTGTACTACAAATGGGAGGATCAAGAAGGGAATTTGGACTATTTGGTTCTTTTTTTGCTATAGGGTGCATGCACTCACCAGAAAGAGAGAGAGAGACAGAGAGACAGAAAGTGATAAATCACCCCCCAGGGGAGATGGCCATGCTGCAATCCTTTCTCCTCCATTCTCCTCTTGGGATCATGGGCATACATGCACATGTGCCCAGCATGAGTTTAAGCCACCGGGTCCAGGACTCGAACCATGGTCGACTACATGGGAGTCCAGCAACATAGCTGTTACGCTAACTGCTGGACCCTGGATTATTTGGTTCTGAAGCTCATTCACATTCTAAATTTTTTTATTGAACTTTATTTTATTTATTTATTTTAATTGACCAGAGAAGGATAGAGTGAGAGAGAGAGAGAGAAAGCAAGCCGCCAGTTCCGGGACTTGAACCTCAATTGGCCATGTGGGAATCCAGCGCCCTTAACCACCATGCCTCCTGCTGGCCCCAAGCTCATTCTCATTCTAATGCACTGTGTTTCCTCCGGAAACCACTAAACACTTGGAGAGAGGTGGGAGAAATGACAAGTCAGAGGGAATTCACTTTGACTCTTTCTCTTCCTAGATCAAGTCTATGGGCCAAGGAATAGAGAAGGGAAGGTGTGGGAATTCACTGTTAATCTGTCAGCTCTGGGGAAAGACAGCTGAGGTGGCTGTTGAGTGAAGGGTTTGAAGATCTGCAGACCCAGCGTCTGCCTCTGTGCTGGAATCAGACAGCCGTGTCTGTCTCATGTGTTTTTGACAGGACGACTCCTATGGCTGCTTTCTATAAAAAGGTTTATGTAGTTTTTGATCGTGAATCATGACACCTTTCTACCTATGGTCTTTAGAAGTGGAGAGGGATACTTTGTCTGCAAGTTGGGGTTGGGGACAAAAATCTTCCCCAGGGACCAGCAGTTAGCATAATGGCTATGTCACTGGACTCCCATGTAGCCGACCGCGGCTTGAGTCCCGGACCCGGTGGTTTAAACTCACGCCGGGTAGGTGTGCGTGTGTGCCCAAGATCCCGAGAGGAGGGGGAGGGGAACTGGGCAGGGCCCTCCCCCCCTGGGGGGGGGGGGGGGATGATTTCTCGCTTTCTATCTCTCTGTCTCTGTCTTTCCAGGGAGTGCACGTGCCCTATAGCAAAAACCTCTCCAAAAAAACAAAAACAAAAACAAAAAACTTCCCTTTATCTTAAAACCAGACATGTTTAGGCTTAACATCTACCAAGTAGAATCATGGCAGTAGTGCTATGCTTTATTCCTACTGGGCAATATTTTTACAGAGTTATATAAACAGCAGTGACCACATGAGTAAATGTAGTGAAAAGAAAAAAGGGACTTAGTTGGCCAAACCCCAGGTGAAGCTAAGTCGTATCTCTGGAAATCTTGTATTTTATTTATCCTCTGTCAATATAGTTTTTCTGTGTGCTGACTCTAGGATTCCACAGAGCCTCTTAGAGATAAGATGGAAGAAAAATAGAGGAAGAGGGAGTGGCTGGAAGTAAACAGGAAACAGCAACAAAGAGGAAAAATCTTTATGTCTCATAGAGGACTATTATTATTGTCCAAATAAGTCGAAAAATTACTGTTTTCTCCCTTTTACATTTAGCAGCTACTAGAAGTTGAAGGCACAGAGATAGCTTATGATGTTGCTAAATTCTGCACATGAATTGTATTAACAAAATACTTCATACTGGCAAAGATGAGTTTTTTATGCTTAAATTAACAAAGGGAAACTTGCTATGTAGTGGGAAGAACAAAAGAGAACTTACCTTTATATCCCAAAATGGCTACTGTGATTGTTAGCAAGGCACACAAAATGTATAATAATATGATAGAAAACTTCAGTGCCCAGTTATTTTTACATTTGGTACACTGCGTTCCTTCCTGAATACCTGTAAGAGAAGTCAAAATTCAATAACGAACAAAAATATCATTTCAAAATCTAGCATCTTTTTGTATGGTAGTTCCAATATTGTGACTAAGAATAATTTTTACATAGACCTTAGAAGTATTTCTTTCTTTATTTTTAAATGCCAGAGGGTGCCTGTGCTTGCCAGAGAGAGATGATGACCGGGGAAGGAGAAAGCATCCCCCAATGAGGCATGGTCATGCTGCAATCCCTTCTTCATTTCTCCTTCCTGTTGGGATTGTGAACATGCATGCACATGTATCTGACAAGTTTTTCAAATTGCTGGAAACAAGATTCTAACTGTAATCACCCATGTTGGATCTGGCTTCCTTAACCACTGGTCTATAAGGCTGGCCCAAGTATTTTAAATTAAATAAACTCACTATTTTAGCAAAATAAGGACTTTAAATATTACCATTATGTTATAATTGTATTTAATATGGCTTATAAATAACATAAACTTTGTCTCACAGGATAGGTTCAGATAAAATTCTATTATTATAATAATAATACAAATAAAATTTTATATGAACTTGATCCTGCAATCCTCCAGCCTCCATAGGTTTTTGCCATAGGGTGGGCACCACCACACCCGTAAAATTTTACATGACAAAAAATAAAAACAAACTACTTGTTTCAACTATTATTGGACCTACAATGATTCAAACACAACTAAAAAAAAATCCTGTGACTTATCTTTTGATGTCTGTTTCAGTGGTGCTACAGCTAGTTCCTACTGGCTTGTGAGAGCCAATTTTTAAATTGAGGAATTTAGGGAGCTTGTTATTAAATTGCTCGTAGCTTGATATCATCCCTGAAGGGAGTATTTACACCATGGAAATTGGCAAATGCTACAAGTGAGGACTCACCCCCACCCTCTGGACAACTGGTTTACCAGCATGACCTTGCTTGCAATCTACTATAATCATAGCAGAAAATACAGATGAGTTTATGATTAAATGCCCAGTATGTAATAATTCTGATACATGTATACAAAAAACACACTGTTATTTACATTATTACAGTGATTTGAATAACAGCTATTAGACAAATAGAAACACCAGACATTTATGATTAGAAGAGGTAAATTTTTACTACTTGATGTTCAACTTTTTGAAAAACATCCTATTCTAAGTGGTAAACCAGCATCTCTGCTGCAAGTGACTCCCAGAAACTAACCCATAAAAAAGGAACTTTCCATCTGATTGATTAGAAACACAGAAGACAAAGACTGGACATTATAATGTGAAAATCATATTGGAAGGCAGGTCTGGAGACTCCTTGTTTCCCTGACCTGTTTCCCTGTGTGTGTCTTACTATTAGCACTGGCCAGGAGCAACAACACATAAAGGACTGGTCTCTTATAATTGTGCTCAATAATGTTTGATGGGTAAGTCATGAGTATTAGGCCACAGTGGAAATTTCTCTCCTTTGGATTGTAATTTACCCATAGTGCCCTTCTTCAGTGAAAAGAGTTTTTCAGCTGTGTTTAATGCAAAATGATGAGAGAAACAGCACATAACAATGAGTGAAATTTAGCTTTCAGGGTTTAATCAATTCCTCTGGTGTTCTGGGCTATAGACTCAAGAGGAGGAGGTCCAATTTGTCTGTTTTATGACTTAGAGCAGCACTTCTCAAATTTTAGGGTACATCAGTTTATGGGCTCGTTAAAACACATCGTTTCTAATTCAGAAAGTCTGAGAAGAAACCTGAAAATTTAGATTTCTAAGAAGTTCCCAGGTGATGCTAATACTGCTGGTCCTTCTTGAACTTTAAAGTGCTTTAAAAATCACATTGTTGAAATTCAGTAGGTCTGAGATAGGAGCTATGACTGTATTTCTAACAAGGCTTGGATGATGCCTGGTAGGTCTGAGGACCACACTTCAAGGAGCAAAGATTTAATTTTTGAAGATAGTTATGGTGGATCAACCTTTGGTTAGCTAATTCCTTGAAGGTGAAGCTGTAAAATTAGACTCATCAAACATCTAGAGCATATCAGCTCCTTTGTGTTACAGTCCTCCCATTTTTAACTCCCTTTCTTTTCTATCCTATGCTCTACTTCTTTAATAGTCACTCATCTGTCTCAGCATCACCTCTAATATCTACAACTGCCCTCTCTACTAGCTCTGACAAACCAGATCTCAAACTTCCACCCAACTTTTTTATTTCTACTCAACTTAAATATTAATGTCCCTGTCCTTTAGATGATTAAACTTGAAGATACTATGATTTTCTCTCTTGTATTTATTTTCCAATTCAATCAGTGACCAGGCCCTATTCATCTTCTTGTGAGATATTTTTATCACGATCATCACCACCTACAGTTTACTGATATTCACTTACTGCCTACAGTGTATCAGGTTCTGAGCTAGGTACTTTATGCACAGTGTTTATAATCCACAAAATAATCCTGCAAGGAGGCATGGTGGTGAGAACTGAAAGGACATCCTATACATGTCACATCAAGCTCCCAACCTATGTCGGAACTCCAAATGCCACAATCTTTCCACTATGTCATTCTTTCTCTGGTCACCCTTCTCCAATTCCACTGGAACTTTTTCATCATCCTAGTAGGAGATCTTTTAATCTCAATGGAAACTTCCTCTTCCACTCCCACTGGAACCTAGCCTCACCCTGAGCTTAAGTACTACTATCATGACATTTGCCAAAAATGAAGAGAACAAAAACAAACTTTCAATGGTTCACCCTTAACTAAAGAATGAAATCACACATACATACACACCAGCTCTTAAACTCTCTGTGATCTGGTAGCTTAAAATGGAACAAAGACCCCTTACATCCAGTAAGAGTGAAAATATTTTTGAAATTGGGAGAAGAGGATGTTTAAGTAGATCCACAAATGTGTCACATTCCATGTTAAGGAACAATAAACTTGCTTTGATGGCAACTTTAAAACACAGACAAATGATAAATATGGTGATGCTGGACTGACCTCCCATAGAAAGACTTGATGACACTTTCAAGGTTGATGAGGAACTTAATTTCTTTTAAAATTCAGGACCACAGTGAGTGAGCGCTTTACCCCTCTGCTATGGTTTGTCCCCACAAGTTTCATGTATTGGAATTTAGTTGTACTGTGAAGGTATTAAGAGGAGATTTTTCTGATTATGTGTTGAAAGGTGGAGCCTTTCGGAAGTGATTGGGCATCAGAGTAGGTCCCCCATGATTAAATCCTGGTGGGTTTATTTTATTTATTTATTTATTTATTTATTTATTTATTTATTTATTCATTCATTTATTTTTGAGAGGTTTTGCTACAGGGCACGCGCGCTCGCCAGAAAGACAGACAGAGACAGAGAGAAAGTGAGAAATCACCCCTCAGGGGATGGCTGCACTGCAATCCCTTCTCCTCCATTCTCCTCTCAGGATCTTGGGCATGCACGCATATGCGCCCAGCGTGAGCTTAAGCCACCTGGTCTGGGACTTGAACCGTGGCCTACTACATAGGAGACTAGTGATGTAGCCATTACGCCAATCGCCAAGTACTGGTCCCAAATCCCGGTGGGTTTACAAGGAGAGGGAATGAGTCAGAAACACATGGACACAGACACACATTCTACTGTTTGCTATTTCTTTTATTTTTAAAGAATTAGTTTATTTAACTGTATTATTATTATTTTAATATTTACACACACACACACACACACACACAGAGAGAAAGAG